CCTAAACCCTAAACCTGAAAGCCCCTTTTGCAAACTACGCTCACCATCTTCGGCTGGCAAGGTCCACGCAGCAGCTACAGGAGGCGACCCTGAAGCTGGATGGGGCCGGAAGCTCGCAGAGTCGGAGGGGTCTTTTAGGGGTTTAGGGTTTAGNNAGGGTTTAGGGTCTAAGTCTAGGGTTTAGGGGGTTTAGGGTTTAGGGTTTAGGGGGTTTAGGGTTTAGGGTTTAGGGGGTTTAGGGTTTAGGGTTCAGGATTTCCCATAGGAGGGTGGGTGGGGGTATAGTGAATAGGATTTAAGGCGTAGGGTTCCTATAGTTCATGAAAGACTTTCCTGAGGAGACTTACACTCAAAGTTCTTGTAAGAGCTCGTACATCCCTCGCAAGACCCTATAAAGCCCGTAAACAAACACGCAAGGTCATAATGATAACTTAAACGACATTCCGTGACAAGAGCGACTCCTGTTTTCGTCTTTGAATTGCTCGACTCCTGCCGATGTCACCTGGCTCGAGCATGTTGGGCTGTCAAAGACAAGCCGGGAATTTATAGAGGTTCTAAAGACCCCCAAAAGGGGCTTCTACAGGGCTCGCTACCAGTTCTTTGAGGCTTCAGAGCGGTCCTACATGGGCGGGTTTCATGGGGGCCCTGGTAGACGCCAAACCCGAGACCCCAATCTTAAGAAGTTACATCTTAGCCACCCGCCCCTTGCAGAACCCCAGCCTGTAGACCTGGATTTCAACCCCCCCCAAACTCCAGATCCCGTCTCTAAGCATCGCCCGAGCAGCCTGCTCGTCCGAGAGCAGCGAAGAGGCCTATACATATCACTAAACCCCTCACTTCACATGATTATGGTTAGTAAGTATTATTATTAGTATTATTATTAGTATTATTATTAGTATTATTATTATTATTAATATTTACAGAGTATGACGGTTACCTGTAAGATCGTTGGTATACCTTAGACCATCCTGAAAACCCCTACCCCAAACTCCTAAATCCCTTAAAACCCGGACACCCCCCCTTGCTGGTGGGGGCCATGGAAGAGGGATCCCGATGCTCACTGGCCAACGATCTGGAGGTGGCGGTGGAGGTGGGGATAGCCTTGTCTAGAGGCGCTGCAAAGCTTTCTCGATTTTTTTTAGGTCTTTCTCGGGGTTTCTCATGGTTGTCCAGCTTCTTGAAGGGGTTTGTAGGGTTCGGTGGCCGCTTGGGGGATTGGGATGTGTCCATTTCAGGTGGATGCTCATGGCGGATGGCAGGCAGGGGCTCAGATGAAAAGCTGGAGCATGATAGTTGTTGATAGTAACCTTGCATTATCATATACTATAGCATTATAGTATATCAACACATGAATATAGTGATATGGTAACCCTATATTACGATGTACCACGAGATATCGTGAGTTATTTGTTATGACAGGGCCTTGTACTAGTATGTTGTTGTGAAGCTTCTCAAGGCTTCCAAGAATTGGGCCCTTGTGTAGTACTCCTTACATTATGAGGCCTGTCAGTAGACGTTTATTTTGAGGCCCCATACTTTACGAGCTTCCGATGATGTCTGAAGATTGAGTTCAGGGCTGCGCATCTAGTCAAGAAGCCTAGGACTTCGTACGACTTACCTTTGGTTAGTAGGGAATGGAAGAATGGTAGTAATAGTAGTTATCATTGTACCCCATTCCTCCATTCCCTACTAACCAAAGGTAAGACGAAAGCTAGGTTGCCCTGAACCCCACACCCCCTGAACTCGAAGCCCAAAGCTCTGATGTTCTAGTTAACTTCCTTCCCCGGCTCCTTAACCCTGACCCTAAACCCTGAACCCTGAACCCTAAACCCTAAACCCTAAACCCTAAGCCAGAACCCTAAACCCTAAACCCTAAACCCTGACCCCTAAACCCTAAACCCTAAACCCTAAACCCTACTACCCTGTTTCTCGGCTCAGGTGGTCTATCCCAAAGGGAGCTGCCAGCTGCCAGAAGCCTGCAGCTTTCGGATTCGCCTGCGGGAGGTTTAGGGTTTAGGGTTTAGGGTTTAGGGTTTAGGGTTTAGGGGTAGGGTTTAGGGTTTAGGGGGTTTAGGGTTTAGGGTTTAGGGTTTAGGGTTTAGGGTTTAGGGGATTCGCCTGCGGGAGGACCCTGCGGTTGCTTTCGCGGCGGGCAACGTTGGAGGGCCGACAGAGTGGAAGGTCTCTGACATGGAGGCAGGCACGGTTTAGGGTTTAGGGTTTAGGGTTTAGAGTTTAGGGTTTAGGGTTTAGGGTATGCTTCTTGTGTTGTTTTTTTAGTTCGTTTTGTGTGTTTTGGGGAGGGTCCCGTAAGAGCTAATGGGGAGGTACAAGACCGCCCCTCATAAGACCTAAAGTTCTCAGGTAGATTTTAGGAAGCAGGAGGTCTTGGATTCTGGATGTTCCCCCCCGAAGAGCGCTGCGCGTGGAGGAGTTCTTTGCAGCTGCCCAGACCTGGTTGGAAGAGGAGAGGCGGGCCATCGAGCAGGAAGAGGAGCAGAGAAGGAGAAGGAGGCAGCTTCAGCAGAAGAAGTTCCTGAGCAGTGCCATAGGCGCTTGAATAGTTACCTATACGATTATGGGGGCTCCCTTATTATAATTAGAGTATAATAGACTCTAAACCCTTATTCTAACTATTAAGGCCCCTATATAGGCTAAGGTAGCCCTTAGTTGTTGTTGGGACAGTCCAAAGCCGACTCTTCGTCCTCACCGGACATTGGACCAATAAGGTTTGAATGGCTCTTCTTGCGGCAGACGCCTCTGATCATGGCCCGTGTCTACAGGGTGGAGAGGCTTTCATGGTATCTGCCCCTGCTGGTGCCTCTTTATGGGGGTATGGTTGCGATCAACTACAGCGTAGTCCCGCACGGCACTGTGGAGGAGTCCGCAAAGCATGTGCCATAAGGTCCGAATCCCATCCCGAGTCGCTCTCAACCCTAAACCCCTCAGCCCTAAACCCCTCAGCCCTAAACCCCTCAGCCCTAAACCCTAAACCCTAAACCCTCAACCCTAAACCCTCGGCCTGAACCCCAAACCCTAAACCCTAAACCCTGAGCCCAAACCCCCAAACCCTAAACCCTAAAACCAAAACCCTAAGCCTAAACCCCAAACCTTAAACCCTAAACCCTGAGCCCAACCCCCAAAACCTATACCCCTAAGCCCAAAGCCGGAGGAGTCCGACTGGACCCTTTCGCTTGTTGTGATGGGCGTCATGGGAGTGTGCTTCTTCTGCATTCCCTGGCTCGTTCCGCAGATCATCAGAAGCGATCGCTGTTTGGTGGCGACTTCCGGAATCTGGACTCAACCCCTAAAACCCTAGCGTTTTGCAAGGTTGTTGTCAGGTAACTGACAAGAGATTCCAAAAACGCGTGTAAGCCCATGTAAAACCTTAAACGCTTATACCCAAGCAAAGCCCCATTCCCTTAAAACGAGCCCAGTTCTCTCCGGCCTCCTCATCTTCCTCGTGGCTCTGCCGTTGGAGCTGCTGCGCCTCGTCTACCCTGTGGCCTTTGCGCCTTTCGCTGGCCTCCTGATACAGGCAGGGTTTGGGGCTTGTGGTTTAGGGGGTAGTTCGGGGCCGACGGGCTTGAGGGTGTACAGACGTAAGAAAGTCTTTAACTTTAAAGTCAGGAAGATCGTTCCCAGAATCCGCAACGCAACAAATATCCCTCACTGCTTAAGGATCCTTGAACCGGCTTGGTCTAAGGTTCAGGGTCGAGGGCGTTTTAGGTGCAGTAGGTTGTGATCGTCGGGTCTCATCGTCGAGGCCTGGGATGCAGGTCGGTTCTTCGGAAGGCCATGCAGCAGCATTTCAATCCTCAATGCCCTAGCACTGGTAATCTCAAAAAACTTGCGGTCCTATACCCCCCAAACCTGACAGCCCAAACACACCTTGAACTCCAAATCCCAAGACCTAAACCCTTAAATCCCGGCCCAGAGTATAACAATGTCGTTTTGACACTCTTGTCGCCAGGGAATGAGCACCGACATGCCAGCCGAGCTCGAGGCCCGGAACATGGGCAAAACACTACTGGATGGGGAAATGGGATTTTTGTTGAATTTTGATTTGTTGGGCTCCCGGATAACTAGTATTACGATCTGGGTTTAGGGTTTAGGAATTTCTGGCTAAAGGGTTCAGGTTAACCTGAATGCTCTGCGAAGAAGATGCGTGCATAACGTATTTACGCATATGTGTGTATGCCTTTAGGAATATATGTGTACCTGATTCTTGCTGCCTATAGAGTCGGAGAGCACATGGCATGTGCTTCGTTGTCTCACAGTATGTGTGCCGTCACTCAGAGACCGAGAGGTTTGTCTTTGTGTTTGTGTTTGTGTCTATATATCCAAAAGTTTCTGTGTATGCCCATGATGTATAGGCATTGGCTCTTAATGCGAGGCGTTTCCAGGTCTGCACAAGGCGGTAACTGTGTTGTATACCTTTGCATATGCATGAAGTAAGGTTTGTCTTGCCGTCATGGCGAGTGTATATAGGGCTTTTCAGCAACATTGGTGAGCGTCTATTTGGGGCTCTATACGGGGGAAACTAGTCAAAAAGCTTATTTCATATGAACAACGATTGCTATCGGAAGTGGGAAAATTGAGCCGGAAGATGCTGACAAACCCCTCAACCCTAAACCCTAAACCCTAAACCCTAAACCCTAAACCCTCAACCCTATTTACTCAAAGCTGCGAGCCTCGAGCTGCAAGCGGCCCAAACCGCAACCGCAGCCCCGAAGCCTACGCCCCAGAAGCCCTAAACCCTTGGGTTTAGGGTTTAGGCTTTAGGGTTTAGGGTTTAGGGTTTAGGGTTTAGGGTTTAGGGTTGAGGGTTGAGGGCCCCAGCCCCAAGCAGCAAACACGCTGAGGAACGCTCAAACGACCTCGTAGTCGAGTGCCCTTATGGAGCACCTTCAACACCTAAACCCTAAACCCTAAACCCTAAACCCTAAACCCAAAACCCTCAACACCTAAACCCTAAACCCTAAACCCTCAACAACTAAACCCTAAAACCGTAGACGCTGAACCCCGAATCCCGGAAGCCCCGAAACATCGAGAAGGTCTAGGGTTTAGGGTTTAGGGTTTTAGGTTGTTTATGGTTCAGGTTTTAGGTTTCAGGGTTTAGGGTTTAGGGTTCAGGGTTTCAGGGTTCAGGGTTTAGGGTTTAAGGTTGTTTAGGGTTCAGGTTTTAGGTTTCAGGGTTTAGGGTTTAGGGTTTGGGGTCTATGGTTTAGCCAAAACCCCCCTTTCCAGGCTCAGACGGCGGCAGTTGAGAGCCGCACAAAGGAGGAGACCATCGTCTTCGAGGGCACCGTGAGCCCAGAGTTCCTTGGCTCAAGGTAAGCTCCGTCTTTTTGATTTAAGACTAGTATGAGTTATGTGTTTTGTTTAAATTTGTCAGCATGAAATGTTCGTGCCGGTGTCTTGTTGGGAGTATTCTTCTTCTTATGATTCCTCTTGTTCTTCTTCTTCTTATCATCATTATTAGTATCGTTGTTTGATTCTTTTGGGTGAGGCTTCTTTTTGGCCAGTGGGGAAGGAGAGGCAGTCTCTTGAGAGGTTTGCTTGGGCGGGCTTCAGGATTTCTGGGGACTTTGCGTAGCTTAGGAGTGTCATGGAGGTGTTTGGTCTGTTCCACCGTTCCAGGCTTAGCGTAGGGGATAGCTCTGTTCCAGCTTTCTGGCTTCTATTGCTAATGGAGGTTGGGAGCATCTGGGAAGCTTGTAGCGACTTGCACTGAGGTGCGGCAAAGCCTGCGTGGTGTCCTGGCCCGGAAAATATGCCACGGCTTGGGATCATTTGGTGGAGAGCGCTCGCGGTGGGCAGACAAGTGCAGCGGTCTTAGTGCTCTTCTTCATGGTTTTATACGGGAGAGTTCACCCGAGCCATCAGGCCTTAACATATGTATTGCCGGGGTACCTTGTAATTATCCCTTCCCTAAACCCTAAACCCTAAACCCTTATCCCTACAAAACGCAAGAAGGCAGCGGTGGTGTTCTTGCCCGAGGGTACTCCGCACTACGGGCAGCACATCCGCATACCCGGCAGCGAGAGGCTCGAGGGATAGTGCTGGTAGGGTTTAGAGTTTAGGGTTCAGGGTTTAGGGTTTAGGGTTTAGGCAGCGAGAGGCTCGAGGGAGAGTGCTGGTGCACGCCACTCTACGGTGAGAAGAGAGACTGGGGTTGCCTCTGGTGGGCTCTCTGGATAGAGAATCTCGGGCGCCCAGTCGTATTTTCCTCTTTCCTTTCATATGAAGACGAGGAAGATGGGCCCTAAACCCTAAACCCTAAACCCTCAACCCTAAACCCTAAACCCTAAACTTTTTAGTTGGCTCGGCCCCAGGCTGCACCCGTTGATATCAATCTGAACCCTCTAAGCACGAATCCTGATGACCCAAAAT